TCTTTTTGATATTTGTTTATTTGCTGTAGTCTTTTTTGACCTGCTATCTCATTTAGTCACCTAATGGTTCAAAGGCCTCCTTTTCTTATCAAATTCCCTGCTCAGAAAACTGAGTCATGCCATCTTTTCAGTAAATAAAGATTAAACGCAAAATTTTTCAAAGCAAAAGGGCTAATACCTTGAAAAAAATATTGTTCAAAGACAATTTAACAAATTGAAGAAAGCTTGCTTCCTTATAGCTTAAGTTCTTCAAGAAAAGTTTTTTACAAAGCAGTTCATAGCTTATGTCCGTCTTTTACTTTGCAGCAATTGGCTGCTGTTTGTTAAGGTACTTCGAGGATTTAAAGTCTATTTTAAAGATTCTGCTGCTAATATTTAACAAAATAATTGAATAACTATATTTTAATGCCTGATGCTTTATTCCATGGGTTTGTGTGTAAAACCAAAGGTAATCCAAAGCAAAAATGGGTGTGCTGGGCTTTATCGACCTGTATTGTCACTGAAAGCCCAGCTACACCCACATGGCATTTGCTTTGTGAGTCAGTCACACAATAAAGAAATTGGGAATTATTTTCCTGTTCTTCGTGTTGAGGTGTTACATAACTATGATTACTGCTGCGACGGAAGCAACGTCTCTCATTAGTCTATTTATCCAACTAAACTTATATAACAGAGCTTTGGGTCATTTAGGCTTTGCTCTAACAGGCTGAGACTTCATGAAGAAAGGAAATGTCTTTCTAGATCCGTTCACATTAGCTCCTTTTTATGCAGCATTAAACAGACCAAAATTGTTCCCCTACAGACTCCCGTTTACAGAGTTTCAGTGGTTCAAGGTGTTGTCACTTGAAACTTAACAGACAGGAAACATTCCTCCACCTGCAGGCAATTTATTACACCGCCCTCCTTAAAGATTTTTCATTGTTTCTGACTAAGGGAAGGTTTTATGAATTAAACTATTGACAACGTTTTTCTTCATTTTAATTGCAGTATTTCCTCATTTCTGACCAAGGCGTAGAAAAAGCAAATGTTTGTTACAGATTAACCCAAACCCTAAACAAATACAGTCATTCCTGTGCTGCTTTGTCCACATTTTTTGTTTGTAGTTTTTTTTAAGGGGCTAAATAATCCATCGATAGAACCCATTATTTTAGCACAATACATAAAATTTATATCTACCAAGTTTTCTAATAAAAAATGTTTTCCATGTTTTTTGATGAGAGCGCACCAAAAAGAGTGCACAGACCTCCACCAAGCAGCAAAATCTGGACCAAATTGTGACTTAGGGTGCCTTCATGTAATATCTTAATTATAGTAAATACCAAAAGCCGATATGAAAACTGCACATAAACACCCAATCATGCTGTAATTTCCACTAGAAAGCTGGGAAAATTCTGATGTTGGAGTTGTTGCGAAGAGGTAAACTTTGACCTTTCAACATGGCGGTGAGCGGCGAAACGATTCTGTATGGTGGATACAGCAGCACTGTTAATTATTCTATCCTGTTGTGTTTGTAGGCTACACAATGCTGTGACATACGGTATATATTTCTAAAACATAATTAAACTATATATATGTTTTAAGTCTATTACTGTCTTTCCCAAGTAGCCGGTCAGGATAATCTTTGGATCAACCATGTTTGTCTTCTCTACCACAACAAAAGCTCTTGAACAAAATGTTCTGGTAATTTCCTCTTTATAAGTGGTAAGGATCATCTTTACCAGACCACACGAAGGCCACATAAAAGCTATAACTAAAACACGCACATGATCTGGATCTTAACCAAATTAAAATGAATTGCTCCGTGCCATCTCCATAAAATCCATTCATAGGTTTTAAATTGATCCTGCTAATAAACCAATAATGTTCCCTTTTCTTGTGTTTTTGGCTTGGTTCATTTTCAGCAGCTGCCTCCTCCAAGGAACTGGCCTCCCTGGACCGGGTCCTTCAAAGCCGTGAAAATAAGGAGCTTGGTAGAGTTTGGCTATGGATTCAAACAGGTCTAGGCTTCTCTGGCCTCCACCGTCCCTCACTCAGCTGTACACTCAGTCGCCTAGCAACCGTGACAGTAGACACACAAAGTAGCAGGCAAAGGATCGACTTCTCACTACTGTTCTGTTTGCTAATTACATTTCAAGGAGCTTCAGCAGCAGTACCATCATCGCAGATATCAGATTTGGATTCTCCAAACTGCACAGATATTGGAACCTGTGCTTTGATGTCAGCCAATCCCATTTGCACAGTGACAGATAAAACCTTACAATAAACCAAACATTACCCACCACATATCTTTTAAAATCCAACATATATATTTCAGAGGAAACTACTGACATACTTATATTATATTGAAATAAACCTACATCCTACAGCGCATTTCCTTTTTTCCTCTGAGCACGGAGCAGCCGGCTTGCTTGAACTCACAATAAATCACGGGATACCTAAGGCTACATAGTATACACCAGACCCGTCCTTCAAAACAGGCAAAAAGAAGGCTGTATTTGTCGGCCGCATAACGAGGAGTCTTGCAATCTGAACAGGTTTCAGCTCTGCACTATAACGTAATCAGCCGACAAATCTGGCCTTCGGAGGATGCAGTCAACGCATTCAAACCCAACCAGCATTTTTTGTCAGTAAAATGCCTCCGAACTTTTTTAGTCTGTTGTTCAGGCTGTCAATAGTCACTGCTGCCACCCTCTGGTTTGGTGGGGAACTGCTTGTTCTGCTAAATATCCCTATCTCACAATGATATAACAACTTTTTAAAATTCCGGTATCACATAGATGGATCATGAGGATATACTTACAACACCTTATTTAAGATCTGAAAGCCTTAGCTGAGATCAGTTCTCACTGGACCTAGAAACTTCCTGGTTTAGTTTTGGTATATTTTCAATCTAGTGTCAGTTCTGGTTTCTGCATCTGTGCCAACATCTTGTTAAGGTTTGAGAGTTTGCTCGATAATATCATTAAATTATTTTGAACCAGTCTGCTCATTCGATCCTGACCTTTTGACATCAACAAGAGGTTTTCATCCACACAACTCAACACATGTTAACCTAGTTAATAAACAGACAAAACTAATAAACTAGCTGACAATTGTTTACGTAAAGCATTTTTTTTGGTCGAACTTTTTTTCACCTTGTGGTATAACCTGACTAACCTGCATTAGAGAATTTGGGCTGGCTAAAATGTCTAACTCTTTTTGTCGCACATCTACTGTATTTACCCAAAATATAAGCAGATGAAATCATACTTAAATTGTTTTGTCAAAACATTTGCCACCTCTGCCTGCTTTCACCTTGTTTTGGGAAACACAGTCAGGGGTGTATTGTTAGACACAGTTTAAACACAAACACTGAAATCGATATATATATCTAACAGGTTACTAGATATGAAACAACAACAAAAAAACAACATAAATAATACTGAAAACTAATTGCACACTGTAAATATGTACACCTAGTATTTGCCCTGTTGAGAAGGACTAATAGGGATTTCATACATGTAAAGCAATGACAGTAATGTTTATCTTTTCATCATCCACTAAAACCGTTCAGATTTTTTTGTCTGTTTGCCTGTCTTCTGTTTTTGGAAGATTTTAAAGCCAACGTTTAAAAGCTCCATCGGCTGCCGTTGATGCTAGCTTGAAGTGTTTTCTTGTAACCCTTTAATTTCACAGATGGAAGGGTAACTTTGCTCTCGTGCATTTTATGGAAAAAAATCACACAGTTGAACAATAACTATGCAGTTGTGTGCACGGCTGATCCGGTTTGCTGGATTGCCCTAAGAGAAAAAAGCTGAAGAAAAAGTGCTTAACAAAATAAGTTGTCTTTCCTTTATGTCTCTGCATAGCTCTGGGTCACATTCATGAAATTTGCATGCTGCAAATTTGATGGCTTCTTAATCATTAAACGCCCGTGATAGAAATATGGAAATCATTTATTACATGATTTAACAGACTATCGATTAAGATTAATGCTGAGCAGATAGCCGAGGTGGACAAAACCGCTCCTACGAGGCAGATGGTGGTCAGTCCATCAGCAGCAAAGCAGATCCAGACTCTGTTAACTATGGTTTATTTTTGTTGGAAACGCTGTCTTAGTTTTACACCACATGGAAAAGTACAAACAGCTTTTAAAGATGCCTATTTTGTTTTGCAATTTTTTTAAAATGATTTAGGGAAAAGTCTTAGATATCATCAGGATGTCTTTTTGGGTAAATGTGAGCTGAGCCTTGGGTTTATTATTATAATTTTTTTAATGTTATTTTGTCAGTCTTATATTTTAAATAATCAACCCTCAGTTTAACTATGGCACAAAGGGCTGCAGGGCTTTAAATGTTGTTCTGAGTTCATTGGCCTCCTGAATGAGTTTTAAATGTGATCTTAGTGTAATTTTGGTTGGTGAACCACTCGTGGGAAGATCCCCCACTGTTTTATGTTTTCTCCTTTTGTGGATAATGGCTCTCATTGTAGTTTACTACAATCCCAAAGCCTTAGAGGTGCATTAATCCTTTCCAGGCTGAAAGATCACTATATTGTTTTTTTTTTATTATTTCTGGAAATAAAATCCGGATGTTTTGCTCTTTAAGATCTGGTCTACTTCCTGTCGTTAGACAGGTAAAATTTGAGTACATTAAATTTTTTTACATCTATGATGTAACTGGACTCAGCTTCACATAATGTTATATTAATCAAGGTAAATCTACATTTTAGAAAATTTCCTGCTTAGGTTTTGTTTGATAGCTCATTTCCTTTAGAAAAAATAGTCATCATCACAATTTCTTTACCTATCTCTGAAAAAATCTGCAGGTTGAATTTTTTTGCTAAATATCTTAAGATAAGAGTTTTCACAAAAGGGTTTCTGTTTTATTTAAAAATATAACTATAATGACAAAGTGACACTAGAAAAAAACAAAACAAAAGGGAAATTAATTTCTAAGGTTTTGTCTTCTCTCTTGGAAAGCAGCGTATTTAATGAATGGGAAAAAAGTCTCACTTTAAAAACCATTACATTCATATAAAAGTTTATTAAGTACAGGTATAAAAATGTGCATACAAAAGTAATTGCTTGCTTTGACAGATGGACCTTGCAATCATAATACCAAATGGGCTAAATTACAACAACAACAAAAACAGCCTCTTATGGAAACCCTCATTATTCTCCTTGCAGAAGAATTATCATTTGATTCCAGTTCATTGACCATGTAGGACACAAAGAGATCATGGGCAGCTAAACAACTATACAGTAACCATCTGCCTCCTTCTAAACAAAAAAAAAACCTCAAAACAATGCCTCAGATTGAAAGAATCAGTGAAGGAAGAATCCATGTGAACTCATTGACATCATCATCATCATCAAGGTAGAGATGTCAAATCTTTTGCCAGTCTTGTTCGGTCCTTCTTCCCCACATCAGAAACATTTATATAACTCTATAGTACACATTTGTAATAAATATATTAAATAGAGGCTTAAATAGTTTCATTTGATATGACCTGGATGTAAAATGTGCACAGTACATCAAGTGTGCAAAACAAAAGAAACATCCCTGCTTTCATCAGGACCAAAAGCATAAAACTGCCGCCTTCTTCATCAACAGATAGATGACAGCATCAGCAGCACTGAGGGAAAATGAAAATAAAAAGTTCAGTTCAGCCGAGAAGACTTTAGAAAAATGTTTTTTTTTTCTGTGTGGATCTCATTGGCCCCATCCTGCGATGCCAATCTCCTGCTTGTAGCGCTTGGTGAGTGAGTTGGCCTGCTCGGTCAGCTTGGACAGAACCCCCTGCAGTCCGGTCAGGTGGAACTGGAACTGCTTCTTCAGATCCTCATCTTCGCACTCGTCCTCCTCCTCGGAGCAGGAGCCGGACAAAAAGGAGGCGGAGGAGCAGGTGGAGGCGGAGGAGTGGGAGCGAGTGATCTTCATGCTCTCCTTGCGGCTCTCGTCGGCACAGGCGCACCGCACCCCCCACTCCATGTCGCTGCGGATGGACTTGAGCAGCTCGTAGTAGCTGTACATGTCCCCCTCGTCTTCGTCCGACTTGAGGCCGCCCATCTCCCGTTCCTCCTCCAGCGGGACGTCCCGCAGCATGCTGGGCAGCAGGATGGTCTGATCCATGTCGTTGACGGCGCCGATGAAGCGGTTCATGGCGTTCAGGAGGGAGTTCTTCTGGTTGGTGCTTTCTGACAGCTGCTGCATCATCATCTTGGCGTTTAGATTTAAGTTCCTCTGGGTTGTTTTGTTTCTCGTCCTCTCTTTGAGTTCTTCTCGTTGAAATCTGAATTTGGATGATGGAGGCTGTGCTTTTATAGGACTTTTGAGGCGGTCCCTGAACCGGTTTGTCACGTTTGAAACCTGAACCAAATGACCTGAGGTAGCACAGAGACGGGAACATTATAGATCTGGCACACTGACTCCTAAAACTGGAAGAACAGGCTCAGACAGGAATTAGATTCATTCAGATCATACATAGGAAAAGTTCTCAAGCACATAAAAAAGTTCAAAAACATAAAATAAATATTTGCTTTTAACGCGCTTAAGTCTTGGACTCAAATTTCACCTTACCTCTTTTTCAGTCCTGTAGAATTTTTAAAACTTTATCTCCCTTCCGGTGAAACACTTGGCAGAGATTGGGTCTAACATTTCACACATTCTGTTCTGATGAGTAAAAAGTGACTGATGGGCGTCTCTTCCCGCTTGGATTTGATATGAATATTCATCCACAAAGAAGTCAGCTCACTGAGCTGAGGCAGTGACAGCCAATCACAGAGCAGGGTTTGATTGGTGGGCGGGGCGGATAGGGAGCAGGGTGCACCAATGTGAACCCGGTGTTAGCCCTACTGCACTTACAGCAAGGCAGAGCCACACGTGTTTTCCTCTCTATGGAGGAGAATAAAAGCTTTGGAGACTGAAAGTACACGTGTGTCAGCTGGAAGGTTCTGGAAGGAACTGTAAACTGTAAATCTGTATTACAGATCTGTTTGAAATCTGCCCTAAAAAGTATTCAAACCGCCTTAAAGGTATAGAGGACGATCATTGATTTCCGGGTGGATCATCTAAATTGATCATGGATTCTTGGGAGTGTTGGGCTAGTGGTTAGAGTAGTGTTTGTACTCTGAGAAGGTTGCAAGTACCTGGTTGATCCCCACAGCCTGGGCTCTCGGACTATGAGCAAGACCCTTAAGGCCAATTTATACTTCTGACGCATAGCCTCTGCAACTGTCAAATCTGTCTCTGTGCGTGACCACGCCCCCCATGCAGAGGCTCTGCAACCATTGTCGTGCACCTCAAAGAAATCCTGACTACACCACGGATGGTCGCAAACCCGCAGAGACCTCAAGCAGAAGTGCGCAGACAGAAAGCAGCTGATTGGTCCTTGGTATGCCTTTCCGACTGTCTGTGTAGTCGTCCTTCTTGATTCGGCGCCGGGGCGCGCCATTTTTTAAGAACCGAGGAGTAATAAAAACAATGGATAACCACGATGAAAGCTTGATGAAGGAGGTTCGGAAGTACAACCATTTGTACGATGCCTCAGACATGTTGTTTTGGAAAATAAACACTCGGGAGTTCTCGAATAGGCTCCCCCTAGTGCTTTGGTGGGAAACTGCTGTGCGTCCCTAGAAATTCCAGACCGACGTTGCAGAAGCATACCAGCAAAACTGGTTCGCGACCAGACGCAGGCGACATTTGATGTTTGCGGTTGTAGAAGTATAATCTGCCCTTAAATCCCACACTGCTCCATGGGAGCTGCACAATGGCAGCCCACTGCTCCCCAAAGGGGATAGGTTAACTGCAGAGAGTTAATTTATCCATTGTGAGATCAAAAAAGTTTAATTATTATCTTTTTCATTTCTAAATAAATGGTCCTCATAAATGTCAATCATTCTGGTGATATATTTATGTAAGGCCATCCTACGTCTTTGTCCCATTAGCTATCATTATTTGTGCATGCGCACGGTCAGACGTATATCTGTGGTGAGCTACAGTTTCAGAAAGACATTGAACCTCTCCTCGCAAAGCCTTATGGGATTTGCTGTCACAGTGGCCCTCTGTCTCCATAGTCTGTCACTACCCAATCCGTGCGAGCAGATTTACATCCATATTCATAAATACTATAATTGTGGTACTAAAACTACTTATTTCTATCCTTAACTGACTAAGGAATGATAATACACATCTTTAAAAATGTTTTCTGAATTTTGTGAGACAATTTTTAGGCTTTCTACGTTTTCTTTCGTTAAACTGCTTCTCTAATGTCATCATCAGACATGCTCAGGGCAGTCGGGGTAAATATGATTAAACCATGTTTATCTGCATTTTAAGTGTTTCTTTCTTTAGATTACGCACTATATACCATAAGGTTAAAACGAAACGAAAACATAAAACTCAAAAAGACTAGATTTATATTTAGATCCAAAGCCAAAAAAGTTAGCCACCGGAAGTAGCGTAGGATCCCATTTCCAGTGCAGATCTGGTAGAGACGAGTGATGAAATAGAATGGATTTTAAGGCATTTAAGGCATCACTGCTGCTTACCTTATCAAGGCTGTACTTTAAAATATGAAATTGTCTAGAGAGCTGTTCTAAATAAAATTTCTTTTTGTTTACACTTTTGCACACAAAATAAATCGAAGTCTAAGCATTTATTTTCTCAGGAAATACATTATTAACCTTTAACACATTATATTTTAGTATGTTAACTATTTTTGGGGAGGGAAAAGTTCATTTAGGTATTTTTAACTAAATAAAATCGAGGACGACCCTGATGTATATCTGGATGCACATTCACAAATAAGTTGATCGTAGATCATGCTTCCGGGACAGATCGGGTAGGGACAGTCGCTACCCGACCGCACGGAGGAGGAGTTATGTTGCCAACGGAGCAAACAGCAGTGATCATCTGTCCGATCAGTCAGTTAACTGAGTTTGCTATAAAGTCCTCTATACAGTCCCCACTCTATATAGTGATTGAGGAATTTAGGGGTTAGAGCGGATGTTCGGATATAATAAAACAGCCACTTTTAAACAGAGCGTGCATGAAGAGAAATGGGCTAACGCATGCTCTCGCAAACGTTTATTAGGCGTTGCCTCTTGGAAGCAGGTACAGGGTTGTGAATGTGCTTTTTTTTTTAAGTTGAGAGAGCGGGTGTTTTAAAAAATTTTAATCTTATCTGCTTTCACTTTGGAGGGATAAAACCACGCATTTTAAACCGATTTTATTGGAAATTGTCATGAAAGGTTGCATGTG